CTGAAAGTATGCAATGGAGAGATGGAATTGTGAGTGGAAAAGAAGCCTTGCTCTGAAAGTATGCAATGGAGAGATGGAATCGTGAGTGGAAAAGAAGCCTTGCTCTGAAAGTATGCAATGCAGAGGAGCAATGGCTGCCAGGACGGGACATGGCACAGGTGGCACAGTATCTACTGAACATTTCAAAGCCCTGGGCTTGATTCCAAGCATGGATAAAACTGGATATGGGGGCAGTGCCTGTAACCCCAGCATTCAGGAGCTGGAAGCATAAGGACCACAGTTCAAAGTCGTCCTTGGCTACCTAGCAAGTTCTAGGCCAGGTGTGGAGCCCTATCTTTGAAAGCACTGGGGAGACACGCCACCCTGACTGAAGGATCATCAGCAGTGGTCTCTGTGCTCCCTTCTCATTCTTCCCCTGCCCAAGGTCAAGAACACATAGCAGTTCTAGTCCAGATACTCCATGGTTATTTTGTGAACTCCATTAGTTTTAATCCTGTAGTCTTAACATAACTTTCTCTTCCTTAAATATATGGAAAAAGTCAATTCATATTCAGTGAATGTGTGCCTAAGACCAGAGTCACTCATACTGAAAACAAGGTTTAAAAAAAAAAAGCCTGAGCAGTCAAGTCTTTTAAAAGAGCTATACTAACCCTGGCACAGTGCATGCCTTTAATGATAGCACAATAGCACCTGGGAGGCAGAGGCAGGTGGATCTCTGTGAGTCGGAGGCCAGCCTGGTCTACAGAGTGAGACACTGTCTCAAAAACAAAACAGAACAAAAAAACAAAAAAATAAACGCATAACCAAAACCGAAAGAAAAGAATCTATTCAGCAATACTGGAGAAATGGGAAATCAGCCAGACTAGTCACAAGATCCGAGGCTTCTGTACCTCTGAAGGCTGAAGTCCAAGAGCAGCACATTGAGGTCGGAGAGCAGAGTGCTGAAGCTGTCTGCAAATGACCAAGTCTCAGCCTGTCTGAGAAGTGAAGATGCTGAGCTGGAGTGGAGATGACAGTCATCCACTTATAGGGACAAGATGCTGTGAGCCTGGGGTGTCACATAGACACTTCCTCACAGGATGAAGGCAGGGGCTAGTGTGGAGAAGGAGATAGGATATTGGGTGCTAACCACTCGGTGATATGGAAGGATGCTGGAAAGCCATTGGTACAGTGATAAGTAGGGGTAAGTTGGATGGGCCCCACAGTTTACCATAGTAGCTTGCAGACATTGTAAGTTGTTCTATCAAAAAAAAAAAAAAAAAAAAAAAAAAAAGATTTCTTAAAATCTTGGACAGTAAATAGTTAACTTTCATGGTTGCCTTTTTAGGGACAGTACATGAGAATGGGAAGGGGGTCACACATTCCCAGTGATGAGCCCTTTGCTGAACTGCAGATAGAAACTGATGTCTCATCTGCACTTGTACAAGACTACACAGACTTGAAGAACCAAACGTCCAGTTCAATTATTGGGAGGCAGACAGGAAGCAGCTTCTTAGAGTCTCCTCAAGAATCATCAGGACACGTGGCGGTGGTTCCGCCAGTACTCAGTGGCAGAGGCAGGTGGACTCTATGAGTTCTAGGCCAGCCTGGTCTACAGAATGAGTTCCAGGACATACAAAGCTACACAGAGAAACCTTGTCCCCCAAAAAGCAAGTTAACCCAACCCCATAAAGACAGAACAGTCTTCAGCATGCCTGCTACCGGAGATGCCAACCTGAACTCACTTTCCTACTATTTTTCATGGACCATTTTGTGACTCCAGGATGTAACTCATTCAGAGACAGCATTGGGCTCTCTGGCCTCATTCCTGCAGCTCTAACACTTTTGCAAGGCTAGTTGGGAAGCCCCCTCCTCTTCACTGAGACATCAGGCCATGCCAGGGTTAGTGGAAGGAAACTGGGCAGTTTCTCCATTGGAGGGGTAACTGTCAGTCATGCTTCATGTAGCTCGTGGGTCTTCAGAGTGTGGGCTACATAGGTGGGGCGGGGGAACTGGCTTCGTGGGCAGTAACAAGCACAAAAGCTTAAGTAAAACAACAGAAAATATCAGGGTGCTATTCAGGTGCCCTCGGGATGTTTTCCTCTGGGCTTATGTGCATGTTGTATACTGACAAGTTTTTTACACTAAGTTTCAAGCTGGGAATGGCGGCTCATACCTGTAAAACCAGCGCTTGGGAGGCTAACATAGAGGAACTTTCATGAGTTTGAGTCTAGCCGGGGCTACAGCATAAGTTCCAGATCAGTCTGGGCTACAGTGAGTTCTGGTCTCAAAACAGAAAAGGATCTATATTTAATAAATAATATTTAGCAGATTAATACTTTAGCTTCATGGTAATGTCATAAAAATGGTTTGGTAGAAAATCACCTAAGCGTGTGTGTGTGTGTGTGTGTGTGTGTGTGTGTGAGAGAGAGAGAGAGAGAGAGAGAGAGAGAGAGAGAGAGAGAGAGAGAGAGAGAGAAAACCGTGGCACAGATGAAGTCAGAGAACAACTTTTGGGAGTCAGTTTCTTTCCTTCCATATTATGTGGGCTCTGGGGATCAAACTCGGGTCTCCAGGCATTTGCAGCAAGTGCTTTTATCTGCTGAGCCATCTTGTCAGCCTGGAAATCTGCTTTTTTAGGATTGTAAAACAAATTGTTTACCTTTGTAAGTAGGACACATCTCCTATTCTGTCCTTTAACTGATAAGTTTAGTTCTCAAAAGACAGCCAAAATACATTTTCATAAAAACAGGTTTCATCTTGGTAATCTATTATAAAATGTGGAATAAACGACTGAGACTCAGGTCGGTGTCTAAGAGACTGGAAGTTACAGATAAGCACAGTACAGCTTATCCTTATATCTCTTATCCTGTGCTGCAAGACATCAAAGTCTGGGGCAGCGGTTATAGTTATAAAAAGGATAATAGGTACTTCCCACCCAGATTTTTGGGTTAGCAGGATGTCCCAGTCAATAGCCACACAGATGCCATAGATCAAGATGATGTAAGGGCACATCAAAGTGGCATGACGTTCCTATAACACCAGTGCTTGGTGTCATACTATTGGGGGGGGGCTCTTAAATCAAGGTTAGCCTAATCAACACATGTTCCATGTCAGCCAGCACTACATAGTGAGACTCATGAGTGGGACTCTCAATAAAGGCAAAACAAAACAACAAAAGGGTGTTGGGGGGGAGAGGGTAAGAGAAGGACGAGGGAGAGGGAGATGTGGGGGAAGACAAGAGAAGACAAGAGACAGATATTGTGGGATATGCCTAGATCCTATAATTTTACTACTTGGGAGCTAGAGGAGCTAGAGCATCAGGAGCTGGAGATCAGCCTCAGTTATATAGTGAGTTTAAGGCCTGCAACAATAAAAAACAAACAAACAAAATAGTAGAACAGCAACAAAGGCAAGACATTCTGGGTGCTGGGGGAAACTTCAGTTTATATGTGTCTGTATGAGAGTGCACACACATATTTGTGCACATGCCAATTAGATCCTCCTGTAAAATGTCGTGCTTACTATGGATCACAGTCAAACCTGTAAAAGATGACGTGACAGGAGAGCCGGCTTGCTCCTTCTGTGAGTTTATTGACTTCCGATACTGCCTTGGAGAAAAGCTACAAAACCTCCCAGGTTTTGGACGGGTCTTATCCACAGGGTTGGCGTAGAGTTGAAATAAGAACGGGCAAATAAGAGGACCAGTTTGAGTCTGTCGTGGCTTGATGTGGCTTGTCCCCTTTGTGTTCATGTGTGAGCAGCTTAGTCCTCAGTGTGGTGACATTGAGGGACAGTGGAACCTTCAAGAAATGTCTAAAGTGACATGGTAATGTCATTGGGGCCATCACCCTCAGAAGAGATTAATGCCGTTCTCTTGAGACCACAGTTCCTTTTGTGAGGAGGAGTGGTTGTAAAGAGAGGCCACCACACACACGAGTGGCCCTTCTGCGCATGCCCATTTCCCTTCCTGATTTTTTTTGCCATGTGATGTAGCCAAGGGAAGTTCACCCAAGGCCAAACTTAATCTCCAAAATTGCGATAGACTCCTCATTAGGACGCCAAAACATCCAGAGAGGGTCAAGTGACCTGCCTGTCCAAGGTCATTCAAGTGAGTTAGGAATGAGGACCCAATACCATGTTTCTTTCCTTTCTATAATTTGTACTATACTTCATTTTATGAATCCAAATATAACATTTATAATAATAATGATAATAATAATAATAGTCTCCAAACCAGATACAGTGATGTGTGCTTATAATCCTACCACTTTCCCAGGAGGCAGAGGCAGAAGAATCATGAGATTGGAGCTAATCTGGGCTAAATAGTGACACTCTGTTTTTGAAAACCAAAGGCTGGGGATATAGATGCTTAAAATACAGAAAGTCCTTGGTTCAGGTCCAAGATTTACTGAAAACATGAAAAAAATTATCAGTGGAAAAGTCCATCATAAATGACCTCTGGCTCAAGATCAGTGCTCTTTTCATTTTATATGTGTGCCATATGCTTGTAACACCGACTTTTAATCATGAAATGAATCAATTCTTGGAATGTCTCCCAGTAAGATTACCTGTCCTCATTCAATGCAAAGTACATTTATATGGCATATTACAACTTACATAATATATATTCCACTCTAAATAGTAATAGTAACAGTTCAAAGGTAAGAGACACAATAATTGACCCAAACACCCTAGCTTGCAGAATGCATTTGAGACAATTTGAACACCCTAGCTTTCAGAATGCATTTGAGACAATTTGAACACCCTAGCTTGCAGAATGCATTTGAGACAATTTGAACACTCTAGCTTGCAGAATGCATTTGAGACAATTTGAACACTCTAGCTTGCAGAATGCATTTGAGACAATTTGAACACTCTAGCTTGCAGAATTCATTTGAGACAATTTGAACACCCTAGCTTGCAGAATGCATTTGAGACAATTTGAACACCCTAGCTTGCAGAATGCATTTGAGACAATTTGAACACCCTAGCTTGCAGAATGCATTTGAGACAATTACCTGTGTAAAGAAAGGTGTTGGAGTGTCCCCCCACCACGACGTCCACACCTTTCACTTTCTGAGCAATGAGTTTATCCATTTCAAAACCAGAGTGTCCAAGTGCAATGATTTTGTTCACATTTAGAGTTTTTAGTTTATCTACTTCAGGCTGCAATGCGGCGATTTCATCTTCAAAGACTAAATTTGTCCCTAAAGAAAAACATTAATAAAATGGATATTAAAATATTTTCACTGTTTATACACCAACAACTAAGCTTATGAACTTCTCCTTCCTTCCTTCCTTCCTTCCTTCCTTCCTTCCTTCCTTCCTTTCTTTTTCTTTTTTCAAGACCTGATTTATCTGTAGCTTTTGGAAGCTGTCCTGGAACTTGCTCACTAGACTGACTCAAACTCACAGAGATCTGCTTGCCTCTGTCTCCAGAGTGCTGGGACTAAAGGGGTGTGCTACCACTGCCCAATATATATTAATTTCTTATTAAAGCTTTCCAATTATGACATCACTTCCCATAAAGCTCTCCAATCATGGAGAACAAAATGTATGACTACATCTAGTACAAAAGCCCTAGCAAACAAAGAAAACTTAAATCAATATCACTGGTTGCATACATCCAATATTGTGCTGGGTTAAAGTTGTAGAAATATATATATGTGTGTGTGTGTGTGTGTATAGATACATATTTAAACATTTATTTTTATGTGTACATATATGTCATAGTATGTGCATGGAGGTCAGAGGACAGCTTTCAAGGGTTGGTTCTCTTCACTCACTCCATGGTTCCTAGGGATCGAACTCAGGACATCAGGCTAGGCAGGGAACACCTTTATCTATTGAACACTCTCACTGGGCCATATATGATATATTTACATAAACTCAATCTCATACTATGATGGTACTTCAGGTATGGTTTGTTTCCATCTCTTTTTATATCTAAACCATCACAATAACCATGCCAAAATATGTGTGAGCACAAAAGTATGGCGTCCACAACGGCTCTTAATTCCATTGCTTTGTCTGGAAACTTGGGGTGTTCTGTCTTGAATTCTATATGTCAACAAGTAGGCTTTGAATGCCAGTTTCAAAAAGTGGTTTTTACAATTATTTATTTGGGGATGTATGTGCCATGGCATGCTTGTGCACATCAGTAGACAACCTGTAGGAGACAGTTTTTTCCTTCTACCACATGGGTCCCTGGATTAAATATCAGGCATGGTGGCAAGTACCCTTACCCACAGAGCCATGTAGCTGGCCCTTGAAAACTAACGTTAGCATGGTAGATAACTGCTCACTTGCAGGCAGAGAGTAGCAGCATTAGAGCAGAACAGAGTGCTGTATTACAAAGAGGCCTCATCTAAACATTGCTGGCCCTGAGACGGGGTACATATCTCATGGATCTCACTCTGCCATTCAGTGCTAGTAATGGACGCCACAAGCTCTGGCTGGCACGACCTGGGTGTTTCTATGCTGAGACATGAACAGGGCCTCCCAGGCTAAAGCCAAAACTTAGCAACTCCTTAGGTTTTATGGCTTCAGTGGTCATGAAGGGACCTCAAATATGCTGTCCTGAAGTCCCATCCGCACCCTGCAGCAAGTCAGTCTTCCAATGGATCTATATGCCCTCATGTTAATTTCTAAGAAGCAGCACTAAAATAAAAATGCCCGAATGCAAAAGTCTCGTAAAGAACATTTGAAATGTAATTCTGCAAAGCCCAGTGTGAAACTCAAGAGCTATCTCAAACATCAACAGTCTACAAAAGAAGCATCCCTTGTCCATCGCCATGCTCAGGACTTCACTTCCCTGATGCAACACTTGAGTCCTGACCACATGCCAACTTCACATACGTAAAACATGGAAGAGAAATTACAGCTTGACAGCACTGTGGCCATGGAGGCTCCACAGCACAGCTGGGAAGTTAGCAGCTCCCAGACAGACTGGCCTGGCAGGGCTGAAGTAGCTCAGGCAACAACGAAAACACCAGGGGAGAAAATGCTCTACCACCATTGTCTACTGTGGGAATGTCAAGGACTGCTTGCTTCTTGTCCATAACCCCAAGAGGCTTGGGACTTGCCTGAACAGCCCTCAGCACCGAGGATGTCATAGCTTCTTTTCTTGTGGCTGTGATAAAATACCCTACAGGGGCTTGTGTTGGCTCACACTTTGATGGCACAGGCCACCATCCTGGGGGGTTCCTGGGGGCAGGAGCTTGAGGCAGATGGTCACAGTCAGAAAGCAGAGAGGGACAGATGCTGGTGCTCAGATTGATACCTCCTTTTCTTTTTGTGCAGCCCAGGACCCAACCCTAGGGAATGGCGCCATCTTTCTTTATGGTGGATCATTCCACCTCAATAAAGACCTTACAAGTCTGCCCAGGGACTGGCCTCTTGTTTCCCGCGAAGCTGACCGTAAATACTGACTCTCACAGCCCCCCCTTTCTGTCTGCCTTCTCTGGGTGTTCCTCTGAAATAGTAAGTGCACCCCTCTTGCCACGTAGGCCCTCCCCTCTGGCCTCATTTTTCTCCACGTCACTCCTTTCTGACACATCTTTATTCATTTATTCTCTCACCAAATACGGGAGCACGGGGAATACAGGCTTCTTGGTTGGTGTTTCCAGAGCCTAGAAGAGTGTGAGGAACACAGGTCCCCAGTGGGAGGGGAGCAGGGAGGAATGGTGTGGGAAGGATGCTGTCACCCTCCCCTTTCTTACTCCAACAAAATAGTTTCAAGAAATGCCTCTTCTCTGGGCACTAAATACATGGAGTGTATGGGTATGTTTTAGGATGCTAGAAGAATAATTACACACACACACACACACACACACACACACACACACACACACACACACGGATTTCACCCCTAGCTAAGTAAGTTAAACGTGCTAGGAATCAATGTACATGCTCTGACCACTAGAACTGGAAAAACTGTGTTTCACTGGGGCCCAGAGGGAGCTGCTTGTTCCCGGCTTCACTTAAAATTTTGAACACATGGAATTAAGCAAAGACACTGTTTAGTCAACAAAGTCCACTGAGTAGAGATGGTGACACCCTTCAGAGGTAACTTAGACAACACAGAATCTGCCTCATCTATTTCCAAGTCACGAGTTCCGTGAAAGTAGAAGATACCTGGATTTGAGAGGAAGGGGGTTTCCTTCGAAGTATATCCAACAATCCCCACAACCTCACCACCGACAGAAAGAATTTTATATGACAAATACAGTCCGGATATCTGAGATGCTAGCCACCCCTGTGCCTTAATATTTGCGCTCAGAATTGGAAATTTGGCCTTTCTGAGGAGGGGGTCAATCAGTCCTTCCACACCGTTATCAAATTCATGGTTTCCCAGTGCCTAAGTAAAATGGAAAAGAAAAAATGATTAAGTACCCTGATTTTTACAACAAAAGTATATTTTTAAACATATCATGTTAGCCCAGTGACTCCTGAAATGGACCGGGTTCTGTGAGACTTGACCAGGTTCTAGTATTCTCCTTACCTCCAGAAGCATGCCTTGGGGCCCTTGGGCTAGGCCCAGGGACATGCAGATGAGCTCACAGGTAGGTACAGCATTGTTGCCCAGGGCTTCCCATCGAGTGAAGCTGCAATTTCTGTGCACATTTGCAGCAAACACTGAGCTGCGAACCATCATCTTCCAGTCAGGCAGCTCCACAGACCACCTGTACCAGGTCCTACCCAGCTTGTTCCTGTTGTTTTCTGCAGTTAGCCTACACGTCAGGCCTAATTGTTCAACCTACCACCATTTTAGTAGAATGCTGACACTCCCAGAATGTCTTTCCTCATCGCTTCCCTTAGATTATTACACAATTTTTTACCATTTCTCTTCTTAAGGACTTCTCCAATTCTTTTGGGGAAATCAGGACTGACAGGGAGAAGTCTCTCATACAGTGGGTGTTGACTTCCTGCTCTAGTCACCCCAGATCACCCTGTACTCTGAGCATGTCAGAAAATGTGGAAACATTATAGGTAACTAGAAAGGCAAAGGCATCCCTTTCTGGAGCCTGGTGGTGCTTCCCGCCAGGTGAGAACCAAGAAATCCAGCACAATTCATGAAAGTGACTGATAGAGGGACAATATTCCTTTTATATAGAAAATATATCGTTTTAAAAATGAATGTTAAAATATCCATGACCTGTGCTTAAGGCTTGATCTTACCCCTGGCAGTAGTTTCTCAAATAAGACTGACATTTTGTTTACAGCAAAAGCAGCTTAATGTTCCCTATAGCCTGTGTCTGCTGTAATCCTGTCCAATACACAGAGAACCACCCTATGATCTCATTTACCCAAAAAGAAAAGTTTTCTTAGCTATCTTTTGAGCTGCAATTTCAGAAGCCACCAAAAACAGTATGTGTTGCTGTTGTAATGACAAGGGCATCTCTATCATGAGCAGCCCACACCCAAGGGTGTGTACCCTCCTCCTAAGCACCTCTTTCTATTAACGCCCATGCTTCCATCTATGTGGAACTTTCTTCCTCGTGCATTAATCTGCTGTAACCCCATTTCACACCGGTTTGTCTTGAAATTCTTTTCTGTCTTTATCTGAGCAAAGCTCTCTAAAAGGAACCTCTCAGACAGCCACAAGCAACTGCCACTGATGAGCCTTGTGGTAAGTACCTTGAGATGCATGAGTGGTAGGCCCCACCCCCGAGGACCTCCAACTGCCAGGTCCTGTCCACAGAACACTCTTAATGGCCATAGTGGTTACACCCAGACCCTCCAGATGCAGGTGGTTAAGCTCTGCATCCTACAGAGTAAAAAACCCAAGCTCAGGACTTGAAATCTTTACTTGAATATTTACTTAGCAAAAAGATATGTTACATTTGTTTATGCCGTGTAATTTTACTTTAATATGTGAAGGCGTGTTAATATTTGTTTCTGCTGCCTTTGTTAACAATGTACATTTGTTTGTGCTGCATTTCTTTAATTATGTAAAGATGTGTTGCATTTCTTTCACTTTGCCTGCCTAAGGCACCTTATTGGTCTAATTCAAAAGCTGAATAGCCAATAGCTAGGCAGGAGAGGGACAGGTGAGGCTGGCACCTAGAGAAAATGAGCAGGAGGAGAAATCTACACTTGAGAGACAAGAGAATAAGGGAGAAAGAGAGGGACACGCCTAGGGTCAGAGTCCAGGCAGCTGCCAGCAAGTCAGACATGAGAAGCAGGGAAGTAGGGTACAGAGAGAGAGAGAGGGAGGGAGGGAGGGAGGGGAGGAACGTAAAAGCCCTGAGGTAAAAGGTAGATGAAGGCAAACAAGTTAAAACAAGAGCTAAGCTAATGCTGAGCATTCATAACTAATAATACATCTTTGTCATGATTTGGGAGCTGGTTGGTGGCCCCAAAGAAAAAGCCTGGTACAGAAATCTTCATCCTAGAAAGCTCTACCTCCTACCCCCAGACACTCCACATAAACACTGTCTTCTGTTCAGTTCTCTGCTGCTTTTCCCCTGAGCAGAGCCAACTACCTTCATGGGTTTTTCCCACCCGACCAATCTCTTGTGTGAGATTGTTGTGCTGTGTGATTTTTGTAGTGTTCCTTGGCTCCCAACTTCCAGGATACCTTTCCCCTCAGAGCTGTAACACTTACACGCATTCCCAGCAGCTTATGTTGAGGAAGAAACTCCCGGTGAGGTTCTTTCTCCCTCAGCAGGTTCTGAACCCACTCTGTGCACAGGGCTTCAGGTGGAGCAGGGATGGTATCAGGCATCATCAGTCGGATAGTCCCAGCCCTGGAGTCACAGCGGCTTTCTCCAGAAAGCCGTCTACCTCTTCCTCACTTGGCCTCCTCCAGGTCTGGCCAGTCACACACTTGGTTTGACTGCCAAGGCCATTTTGCTATCTCAGTACTTAAATTTACTAAGGTTCTCAGTATACCACCTCATCTGCTTTACTCTGTGGGTCATCTGAGAAAAGGCCTGGAAGCATTGGCTGGAGCAGGGGTTCCTTTTGATACAGATCCTCATGTTGTAGTGACCTCCAACCACAAAATTATTTTCATTGCTACTTCATAACTGTAATTTTGCTGCTGTTATGAATTGCAATGTAAATGTTTTTGGAGATGGAAGTTTGGTCAAATGGTCGTGACCCACAGGTTCAGAACCACTGGGCTAGTGACCCTTGAAGCTAAAAGGGCCATGGTACATTCTCTTTTGCCTCACTCCTTCTTCCTGAGTGAGGCAGAGAAGTACAACAGATAGCTTAGTAAGATGAGATTCCACTTGGCTTGTGTTATGGGCACACCTCTCTTGTAACACTGCACTTGGCAGCTTGGTATTGTACATACTATGTGTACATACCCACCCCCAAACAATGCACTTAATAACTCGTTAGTAATCTAGAACTTCGCCTTCATTGAGGTGCACGTACCGTACACCTTTCTCCAGACAATAGAATTAAGTTCTGTCTCCCCTTAACACTGACAATTTCTATTCAACCATATTCCAGGTATGAGAGTATCTAGGTATGAGGGTAGGGAAGCCATATAGCCAGAACAAGTTTGGGATGCATGCTGGATAAGGCAAACTGTCCTGTAGGTGAACTTTTGGGAAATTTTTGAAGACATTTCCTTGTTATTTTGCAATCCGGGTGTTCCTTATTATAATGTTTTTTAACAATACCTAGAAAACCTGGTCTGGATATGACCATCAGTCATGTGATACCAGTACATTCCATGGCTGTGGGGTCATTTGTTGTCTGTCCCCTGACTAGACTGAATGCACCTAAGCCACCTTGCCCTTTTGTCATGGTCAGCATGGTGTTTCCTCACTTGGCACACTCTCATTTACTGGGCACCTGTCACTCAAAGGGCTGTGCAAGCATCCTTGGAAGCATTAAGGTCTCCCTGGGTAAGTTCATAATTTCTGAGTTTGCACATCTCTCCACCTCCGATACCTCTTTTACCCACTCACCACTTCCTCTTATCAAGTTAATATCTCTAAAAACTGAGCTAGTCCTAAGGGCTCTGTCAGTCTTGGGCAAATGCTTCTTTCTTCTAGCCTTAAAACATTGTTTTCTTTCTATGGCAAAATAAATACCCTTTGTTACATAATAATCTTAAGTATAGATGTTTTAGTGACTGTTTCTACAGTTTAAAAACTTGCTTGTTGGTTGGTTGATAGGTTTAGAGTCTTTTGAGACAGAGTCTCACTGTGTAGCTCAGAATGTCCTTCAAATTCAGTCTTGTGTTAACTTCCAGAATGCTGGATTACAGTCACGCACAATGACACATGGTTCCACAGTTCTCTATTGAAGATTGATCAATTCATCAGTGCTGTTCTATCCCTAGAGGCAACAGTTCAAGTTTCCATTTGTTGCTTCTTCGATGTCTTGTTCCCTCCCACCCTGACTTGAGTAGGAACCCTGAGAGTAGCGACAATGGCTATCTTCTTGATTTTGTATCCTTTGGGTAGCAGCTCTATCCATGGACATCAGCACGCTGGATAGAGGACCAAATAGCCCTATTCACACCCACCTTCATCTCCAAAACCTGAAATCTCTGTTGAGCTCTCTGGCTTCTAGGTCTGCATGTCAGCTGGCACATGCAGTTTTCCTTGGTGCTTCAACAGGACCCCAGGTTTTCATACCCAAAAAACCATCTCTGAGACTTGCCATGTGGGCCTGTGGCCCCAAGTGTCAGGTCCAAAGTCTCCCTTCCCTGCAAACGGCAGTGTGGGTGACATTATCCTACAGAGAAGGACAATCCCAGTCAATCAAGTCAGAAGCACTAGCACAGGTAAGCCCTCTCTTAGCTCCCCTAGCCCTCTCCTCCCGGGAGAAGCTGACAAGGACCCCATCACTTGTGTGCCTCATAATACACTAATTTTGAGGAAGGGAAAATATGGCAGATACCCTCCTTAGAACCTGAAATACCATGCGAAAGGAAGGAGAAGTTGTCACAATTGCTACATGAAAGGCAGGAAGGTGGAAATAGCTGTGCTTTGGTGAAGTTCATTCTGGGAAGGCTGTATCCTCTTAGTAAAGTGTGACTGTTGTCCTGGTTTACTTTTGGTGGCTGTAATAAACACAGTGGCCACAAACAACTTAGACAGGAAAGGACTTAGCTCTTCATACAGCAGATAGTGCATCACTGACCGAAGTCAGGGCAGAAACTCAAGACAGAAACCTCTAGAGGCCATGGAGTGCTACTCACTGGCTTGGTCTGCCCCCTTTCTCATCCTACCCAGGCCCACCTGCTCAGGGGCAGCGTTGCCACAGCAGGCTGAGCTCTCTCACATCACTGTCAGTCCAGAAAATGCCTCCCACATGCTCACAGTCCAGTGTGATGCAGATAATTCCTCAGTTGAGGTCTCCTCCTCCCAGAGACTCTAGTTTGTGTCA